AGTGGGAGAACTTGCACAATTGGTGGCTGACTAAATACTTTTTTGCCCCACTGTATCTCATGGTGTTACTTTTTTTGAAAAAGTTGCAGTTGGGAGTGGTAGAGAAGCAGAATGAATCAAATGCTTTACCTACCCACCTCCTTATTTCTTATTCACAATATTTTGGGAGCAAGATTTTTATTTTTATTTACTTGTTTTTTAAAATATGTATTTATTTATACAGACCAGATTTTTATTTACCCTAACCCTAACCCTTTTATTTACTGAAACTGTAGCATCTCCCAGACTCCTTGTCACTAGAATGAGATTTTCTCAAATGGAGAATACTGTTCTCCAGGGAACTTGGGGGATGGAAATAATAATGATAATGATAATGATAATGATAATGATAATGATGAGAAGAAGAAGAAGAAGAAGAAGAAGAAGAAGAAGAAGAAGAAGAAGAAGAAGAAGAAGAAGTAGTTATTGTTGTTGTTGTTGTTGTTAAGATGGTGGTGGCCCAAATTGCATTATCAAGGCTCTGCTCCTTTTTTCCATGTTTTGACACATATTAAAAAGGGGTGTGGCTGCCATCTTGACTTTTTTGACATATACCCTTGGGTTTTTCTGACCATCAGCATTTAAGACCATCTGAAATTTTTTTTAATTAAACATATATCATTGTTTGGCCTATTATACTTTTAGTCCCATCTATCAAAGAATAGATTGGACCAGGGCTGTCTGATGTCACCTGCTAAGAGGAAAGATACATAAGGGATTGAATTAACTCTTGAAAACAAACATAGTTGTTATTTTTGTGATTTTTTTCTCCCAGAATTTCATAGATCTTTTAAAACATTGTAGGGGGGAAACTATGGTAGTCTGTGACAGCCAAAAACCAGGAGAAGTCTGAGACAACCTTTTCAGGATGACAAATTTTATTAAAAGTCATAAGTTTTCATGAACTACAACTTCATCTGATGAAGTGAATGTAGTTCACAAAAGCTTATGTCTTTTAATAAAATTTGTTACCCTGAAAAGGATCTCCCATACTCCCTTGGATGCATCTTTTTAACAGGTTTCAAATTAGAAATTTGGAATAACTGCAGAAAGTTGTTTGAAAAAAATCATAATTGAGGAGAAGGTAACAAACATCATTTTGTAAAATACTAGGAAGGAAGAATTTATATACAAAAAATATAAAGTTTAAACCATGGGAACAGAATTGTATTTTCAAGCCAAACACCTGTAATCTCTTTCCAAATGAGATAAAAACTAGTTTACATACATGCTTTTCATCATGATTTAGAATATTTTTCAGTGGCCCAGAGGTCAGTAAGAAAGCAAGATTTTCCCAGGCACAGATCTATACAGTGTCTAGAGAGGTAACTACATTAGCCTTATACAATTACTTGATTATTACAGTACATATGAACTAGGCCACAATTTTGGAGCAGTGCTGTGTTGCAGGGACCATGAAGGGTTATTTTCAGATCCCTGGAATTAGGTTGCAGTGACATTAAAATCAACCTAATTAATACAACTGTTCTAGATAGTTTAAATTATATGCCGTCTACTATCTTACAATAGATGCTCAGTAATACCTTTTGCTGAAATCTTGTTCAAGAGTAATACATAAATACAATATCAGAACTAAAAAACAGCTTAGCAAGATCAGTTTCACTAGTTCTTCGGCAATAATGGATTGGCAAGAATCGTAGTTTGCAAAGAGAACAGTCTAGCTGACCTCCTGTGTAGGAAATCTGGGGAAAAATACATAAATGCTGTGTCCTGAAATCTTATCAATAATTGCTCTGTCAGAAGCAATCACCAAGCATTCAGCATATTTTCATGGACAGTTTATTTGATGTTTTTCTGTCTGGTGGAAGAAGTCCTACTGAGGCCCCCTTTGAACACCAGGGTCTGAAGCTGGAGAGAGAGAACTGTTTAAAAGACAGCCGGGATTGCCAAGCTTAATAACAACTTGATCAAAGAATATATGGTGGTTCTTTGGATCCCATTTGATTTCCAAATCAAAGCCTTCTTCTGTCACATGCATCTGATCTGAAAAAGGATAGTGGTGGGTTCTGTCTGTAAATCTTGCTGTTAGAGCAAGTTTGGGGAAGTAAAACTCTAAGGCTGTTTACCACACTTAGATATTAGTAAAACAATACACATTGTGCTCTGAAAAGATCTCTCTAAGACTGTTTGATCCAAAATCTATAATGATTTAAAAGCACTACTGCTTTTAGAAAACTGAACCAATTGGGGGAAAATATTGACAATGTTAAGATAAACCTTCTCAATTTTGTGTGTATAAAGATCCAAACACAATGCAGCCAAAATTAAGGAAAGTTACATTAGTTTATTTTATGGGATAGACTCAATTAACTTTCTTAAATTAATGTTCTTAACATTGGCTGGATTATACCTTTATTTGATGGGAAATAATCAATGTAAACTAAATGAGACTATGTTCATGGTGGGCAAATCCTGGTCTTCTAAAATAGATAAGCATTTACTTTTTAGAGTGAAAAGTGCTCCTGACTAATTCCATATTGCTGTTCAACATGATTGATTGCATTTAAATTTATGAATCTCAGAATACGACTTGCTAGACTTGGAGGAAAACTAATGAGAAATTACTTCTCAGATTTCATCTTCTTATAGGTTCATTGACCACAGAAATGGCTTACATGAAGTATTCACCAGTAGGTTTGGCCTGAAAATAAGATGCCTATTTCAACTCTGGTATCCACAACATTAATGGGATGTATTCACTAGCCTCCAACATCATTTTAATAATTAAGTAAAAGTAGTTAAAGTGACCAATGTCTTGCTAGATAACCAAGATCTCTGCAGTTTTGTTGGCCTTTGTTTTCTTAACTAGTTTTTTTAATCGAGGACACTGAACAAAATACTGCAGTGGTGCCCACTGCCATAAAAGATTGCTGATCCCTGCTGTTCAGTATAACGATGGTTCTTCAAAGACTTCAGAGACCAACAGGTCCTCTCATTACAAATTGACAAGCACATTTTTAAAGAACACCACAATCCTTGAACTGAATTGAGACTTTTTTGGATTTCCCAAGACATCATTCCCTCTCACTCT